TTTTGAAGAATGATTGGATTAATTTTCTTGAAGTATTACAATTTCTTGCGAATCTTGTGTGAACATATAATAATTATGTTCGTCGGCAATTGTAGATGTGCTTGCATCTGTTTAAAAAAAGGCAAGATAATAGATGAAGAACTCGGAGTTGGACTAGATTCTTTTCTAGACAATTTAATCACATATCTGTAATAAGTGATTCAAAATATAAATTGATAATTCAAATGCATGATAACTGGTTGCATACCGCTTTATTCGTTTCATTTCAGGCTTTAAACAGTTTAAACTACCAACTACCATTCATAAATATTTATTTGAAATTCGTCTTTTCTCTTTTCTCACTGAGGATTAATTTTTCATTTAGCGCCAGTCGTTTTCGAGTCGTAGAGTACTTTGCCGATGACACTTTTCACTGAACCTATTAACCTTTCCCATATTCCTTCCATGTGGGGAGCAGACAGTGGAATGAATTGGAAGCTAATACCTCTTGACGACAAAGAATCAATAATCGCTGTTCGATCTATTTCTTCCATGGCTTGGCGAGTTTCGTGTGCAGCACCTCTCAGATTTGTTCCATTGTCGCAAAATATGACCTGAGGTTGTCCTCTTCTAGCCGACATTCTTAGTATGGCTTGGATCGTGGAATCGCTACTCAGACTATGTGCAATTTCTCCTACCAATCTTCACCATAATTGGGCCGAAATAGTCCATTCCAGTGTTAATAAAAGCTCTAACACCTCTCTTTAATCGTGCTTCAGGTAGTTGACCCATTAGAGGTGGTGAAGGTTTGCTTTATTTCTCAATCCTTCATTTCAAACAGCTTGAGAATGCTGATTTGACTGCAGTTCGACAGTTTATCATCGAGTATTTCTGTCTGATTTCATTTATGATTAATTCTACTCCTCTATGATGAAATTTTTCGTGATAATTTTGTATCAACAATTTGGTGAATTCATGTTTTGGACTCAGAATGATGGGTTGTCATGTGCTCTCACATGACACTCAGAGATTTCCCAGTTTTGAGTTTTTGTATTTCTTCTGGAAAACACTCCTGTTGAACATGTTTCAGCCATATCTTCTCAGCTTTCAGAATTTCCTCTACTGTTAGGTTTGGAGGAAATTTTTCTTTGTTCCTTACAATTTCAAAAAATCTCAAACACCATCCGGTGGTCCTGATCAGTCTATTCCACTTCGAAAATCGTCGTGTGTCTGGGAGGCATTCTTTATATTTTTGAAAAATGACAAAACATGTTTTAATTTTCTGATTTCTCAGCTCTACGTTAATTTCATTCAAATAGGAAGGTCTTTAATTTTCGATTGGCCATGATTCTTCTGAATTTTTGAGAAAATAAGGACCAGAAAACCATTCATTTGAAATTACTCCGTTGATTTTTTTCCTGCGTGTAGCCGATATTAAGTTCAGTTGGGACCCATCGCCATTCCGCTATACGTGTCAAATCTTGAATTTCACCGATTCAATGTGATACGAACGGTTTGTAGTTTCTTCCGTCTCCTCGTATTCAATTCAAGACACATGATGAGTCGGACCAATAAAACATTTCATCTATGAGGAACTCGAGTTCATTCCTTATCACTTGAGCCAGCCGACTGGCCATCACTGCCGCCTGGAGTTCAAGCCTAGGGATGGAAAGAGGTTTCAGAGGAGAAACTCTCGTTTTCGCTGAGATAAAACAAATATCTCAGTTCTGTTTTCTCCAATGACGCGAAGAAAGCTAACTGCTGAGAATGCTTTCTCACTACTATCACAAAATGTGTGAATTTCGATTCGTAATGCTGATGGAATCAATGGACTATAGCATCTTGGAATTTTGATCAGTACACTTTTCTCCATGTCACTCAACCAATCTTTCCAAGAAATGAGAAGTTCTTCAGGTAACAAATCATCCCAATCGATTCCTACTCGCCAAATATCTTGCATCAGTATTTTACCTCTCACCGTGAAAGTAGAGATCAAAACTAGCGGGTCGTATACCGACATCAAAGCTTGCAAAACCTTCCTCTATGTAGGTTGTTCCGCCATTAAGTTTTCTAAAGTCAGTCTGAAGGAAAACTCGTCGTTTCTGGGATCCCACCATAAGCCTAATATTCGATGTAAGGAAGTGTCATCGATATTTTTTGTAGCCGCCAGTAACATATCATCAGATAGCTTATCTCGAATCAGTTGGGAGTTTGTCTTCCAGTTGACTACTTCAAATCCCGCAACCTTCTGGACTTTGCATACTTCTATTATCGTTTCTAGCGCTTCTTCTTCAGTGTCTTTTGAATCCAAATAGTCATCTACATAGAATTTTTTGATAATAGTTGTTCAGATGTCTGGATTCGTAGAAAATTCTTCAGCATTCGAGTTTTTTACGAATTGAGCACATACCGACGAACAGGTTGCTCCAAAAGTCATGACCAACATTTCATAAATATCAGGAGGTCTGTCGCTTTCCAATTTTCGCCAAAGGAATCGTTGAGCACATCTATCTCGTTCTTGTATTCCTACTCTATGGAACATCTCTCGAATATCTCCACAAAAACCGAATCGCCTTTGTCGAAATTTCCATAAAATTGCAACCAATGACTGCAACAAATCTGGACCAGAGAGTAGAGCATCATTCAAGCTCAAACCCCTTGATTTTGCTGCAGCATCTAAGACTAGCCTGATTTTATTTGGTTTGTTGGGATTTTCTACAGCGGAATGAGGGAGATACCAAAGATGAGGATTGTCAATTTTCTCTTCCTCTAAGGTCAACTTCTTTATATATCCTTTCTCTTCATATTCCATAGTTTTTTTGCAATATTCCTTTCCAAATTTTTCGTTCAGACGACATTTTCTTTCGACACATTTTAGTCTTTGGAGTGCCATGAATTTACTTTCAGGTAGCTGTATGTTATCGGTTTTCCACAATAAACCGATTTCGTAGTTTTCTCCAGTATACTTCAAGGTGTTTCTCATCAGTTCTAATGCTCGTGAACTGTCACATAATGGTTGGTCGGCTGCGATCAAAGTACCAAATGTTTCGGTCAGATAAGATTTTTCTACCATCTTCTACAGTTCTTCATCAGTCGTCTCTTTTTCACAAATGTGTAAAGTATGGGCTTTGAAAGAGTTTTCCCCCGCTATTTGGACTTGGTCCGTACAGCCCAACCTAACTTACATTTACTGGCTACAGGAAGATTTTCTGGTCCGGTTCTTATCTGTCTCGCAAGTATCAGATGTATGTTATCTTGTCCAATAAGCAGTGAAGGTTTTTTGTGATCGATATCTTTTATTGGAACACCTTTAAGATGTGAGAACTGTTTCCAATCGGATATGTTGATGTGTTGTTCTGGTAACGACATATGAGTGACAGTTCGGACTCTTTTCATAGTAAACATTCTGCTGTCGTCATCAATTTTGGAAACAGTCACGTCTAAACGAACGAAATTTTCTTCAACCATGACATTTTTGTTTGTCCATTGTAGACAAAGTGATTCCTTCGTTCCAGTTAGCCCAAGTGTCTCTGCTACTTCTGCATCTAATAATGTCACCGTAGGAGGATTTTCGAGATAACGTTTACTACCTAGACTCTTCATGATCGAAACCATGTTGCTCACCTCTGCAGAATAATGAATCAGCTTCTCAAAGTTATTTTCTCTTATGGAAGGAAGGATGCTGATTCTGTTCATCAAAATATCTATGATGTATTCAGGTCTTCCGAATCTTTTCTCTAAAGTTTCAATCACAAGATCTACGTTATCGGCAGTTAACATCATTCCTGCAACTGTTGTCTTTGCTTCCCCTGTTAGAAATCTCTGCAGCTTCAGCATGATCTCTTCATTGCTGTAGTCACAAAACTTGCGAAGATTCTTGAAAGACTTATGGAACAGGGACCAATCTTGGGGACCGGATGTGATGCTGGTTCCGGGTTCAATATTTTCCTTAATACCTACTTTTTTAGTGTTTTTTCAGTATCTCGCTTCATATTACCAAAAAGCCATCGCCCCTGTACCACTCGTCCTTTATTAAAATATTTCTTCCCAAATTTAGCTCAACTATTTTGCCTACCAATTCCACCCAATTTGAAGATATTCTTTCCATGCCATTTCACGCAACCCTAAAATGATATTCAATGTAATACACAACACTTCAACGAAAAACAGATATTTCACTCCTCAGCAATATTTGATTCAATCAATAACAGCTTCTGAGTTGTTCATTATGAAGTTTATTCTAGGATGAGGAATGAACTGAAAATATTACCCTTTCCAATGTTATGCGGCATTAAAAAAAGGTATTATTTCTGTCAGTTTTACTGAAATTACAACTGATGATTTTGGCTGTTTTTCTGACTTCAACTTTTCGTTTTTTATTATGTACAGCAAAGAATCATAATTCAATTTGCATTCTTCATTGCAATTGGTACAACTTATTGTTGCAAACACTTCCAACTTGTTTTGAGTAGAAAGTTGAGTTGTTTCTAACTGTGATTGAAATTTCGTTCTTATTCATGATTAAGATTTTCATGAATCGCTATCGTCGAAATGAACGACCCAACATTTTTTGAAAAATCAGAGAGTGCATCTATTCAAAATTGCATCAAATTTTTGAATATTTTTCATAATATGTAAATAATTAAATGGTGTGAAAATTATTTGATACTACTCGACCAGATATGTGGAATATAACTTACTATTTGGTTATTTTTTTCCTCAAAAACAATCTGGATGTGACCGAAGAACCTTATTACAATCACCTACCTGTTCAAATATCCTAAATTCAAAGTCGTTATCTGTCAATTATACCGCTCACTGCAATACAATCATCAGTTAGTATTTTGATATTTGTTTTATCAGTTTTCAGGAAACCGTGTTTCATATATAATCGGTTTCTCATTAGTAACACAATAGGGGTGAATTTAGAACCAACGAACCACATTACAAGTTACTTTCGGAACATATCTAAGTTCTGTGTTTTATATTTTGTTTTGACATATGACACTGATAGATAACTGAATGTACGACTGTCAATTGGAGTTCAATTTGAATTTGGAAGTAACTGAATACTCTTGAATTAAAAATTATTTATTATAATACAAAAATATGGAACTTGAGACTGATGTTTCATCAATAAGCATAAAAATTGAAATGATTATTCAGTACTTGGACACTTTGAATAGTATTTCTTCCAACAACCACAACTTGTTAGCCTGGTTTAAAGTAATATAATGAGGTAAAAGAGTATTATGCAGATTTGACATAATTGTAATCAACTTACAGAAACTATGTGAGTTGCTGACAAATATACTAGTTGTAATAACCAACTTATACAAGAATTCTGACAGAAAAACTAAAAATGAAGACATGTTGCTTTATCTAAATCAACTTATGACATCTCTATCCTTATTGATGAATATTTTTGTCAGAGAATGTGAAGCAGAACAACATTTAATAGTAAGTACATAGAACTGGAATCTCTGGCGTGAGATGAATACAATGAAATAACCTTTTGGCTTTCTACTTTTCAATTATTATATATAAAAATTGAATGTCATGCATAGAAATTTCTTTTAAATTCATCTTAAACGATTTCTTTCAAATATTTGAACATTTTTCACTCACTGAAATCATGTTTCTGATTCAACGTGTACTTCAAACATTTATAATGGAATTGAAGCTGATTCAATTTACGGGAATGCTACACAACGTGACACAAATGATCCAAGCTATTTTTACAACATATACTACCATTTATTTGCCTTTTCATTTCAGGAATATTTTGCCCTGTGAAAATAAAGTAAAACGAAAATCTTGTGTCACCATGAAATTATGCTACTAACCTCACTCACAATGTCGCTCTTCCTATTCCTTCAACATCATGAATCAGAAATTCAATGTTTTATGACAGAAAAAACTATTTAACAGGTTTCCTCTCTCATTCAAAAAAATATCTAATGATGTACTTTTTCGCAGGAAAGTTAAAGAACTCTTGCTGGAAAAAGCTTTTTATACTGCAGAGGAATTCTTCACTAACTTCACAACTTTGTGGTAAATGAAAGTTAGTCTCATTAACATTTGACGTAACTGTTGGATATTTATTCATATAGGAAAGTAGTAAATTGGGTGAAAGAAGGATACTACAATGAAAGAATTATAAATGCAAACAGTATAAACAAGGAGAGCTGGAAAATTATCAACGAAAATATGGATAAAATGAAAAATGTAGTTACCTTAGAACTGACAAATAATGTTGATACTGTAATGGATAAATTAAGAATTAGTAATCTTTTAAATACTTTTCTATGGAAGTACTAAACCTAATACAAACAAATTTCCTTTCTCGTTTGGCTCTTCATTTTTATATTTAACTTCATATATGGAGATCCAAGAAATTATATTCATGGTAAATCCTCAAATAGTATCAACAATATTATATGTCAACCACTATGATTTATCATAAATAAACTTTTCTGTGACGGCAGATATCCAGAGTCATTAAAAACATCAAGTTCATAGCCAGATATGGAAATGAAGGCTGCAGAAATGTTATAACCAATTATAGGAATGTTTGTGTGCAATCAAAAATTGCGAAAATCATGACAAATATGTTTTCAGCCAAGAAAAACATCAAATGCCATTTTTGAACAATATGATGTCATCTACAGAAATCTCTGTGATAAGAAATTTTCAAATAGTCTATTCTTTGATTTATCTCAGGAATTCGTTACAGCTGACCACATTCATTACTCAATGAATGGGAATGAAAGGAGTAGCTGATGAATGGGTAGCCTCACATTTAGATCAAAGATCACAAATAGTAGTATGTAATGATGGCTATGCTCCCTTTTATAATACTTATAAGTGATATAAAAAATTCATGAGAGTCTCCACAAAAACCAATATCTACTGCATATATCTCTATCTAACCAAGCAACGGAGTGCTCCAAAACATTATAATCCAAAGTGCACGTGATCTTCCAGACAATACCGCTTGTACAGAGTCGCACTTAGGAACGACCGAAATTTTATTATTTTTTTAAAATATGCATCTGGGTATAGGAAATTATTTTAGGGGGAGTGTAGGGACACAAATTAGCAATTTCTTCAGCTGTATCAGTACTTGACATTTTGAAGTTTTAAATACCATGTATGTACACATCACATGCGTTAAAACCTAACTGACCACTCTGACACTGTAACAAATAATTCCGCCAGCTGATTTCAGTTAAGTCTTATTGGCCACCGTAAGAAGGCTTGTTTATTTTACTCAATAGATGCAAATGTGCGTGGCGATCTGCTTTGATCACGCATCTATCATTGTTAGGGTTACTTTGTTGGATGGATATTGTTTAGGTACTCTCTGTTCAAGCTAAAAACATCTGTTGATGAATTTTCACAGTGGAACACAAACCATGACCTGAAAGTTAATACAAATTAAACTTTTTTCATGAATTATGAACAAAAAAATATTTTTCATGACTTCTGTCCACTAAGCCACAGACTTATTGACCAGGTAGGTCAATATAAATATATCGGTTTGATGATCGGGAAAAACACAAGAAGAATCTAATTTCAAAATTGGAAAGAGTTTGCTTTGTAATGAGACAATTGCATGGGACAGCACCACCAGAAGTGCTTGAACTGGTTCGTTTTGTTCTTGAACAATCTCTCATTTCATATTGGACATTCCTGGAGTTCTACCAAACCGTTATATTTAAAACCTCGACACTTTTTCCAATCACCAAGTGATCATCTTCAAGGGACAGATTAAACTAAATCTACATACAATGTTGTCCTAATTTATATCATATACACGTTTGCTAGGTACCTGCGTCTTAATTGTCTTAAAATTGATTTCACACAACTTTTGGATATATAGATGTAGCTAGATTGTTGTGGATTTATTTTTCAGGTTGCCAGGAATTTTTGTTTGAAGCAAATGAAATGGTGTTTGGATGGCATCAAAGAGACTTTGTTGAATAAGAGTTCCTGTAAAGACACATCAGGAAGTTTCATCAAATGGATGGATTTGGCTCTTGATAAAATGAATGGAATTGATTTTGAAAATCAGAAATCCAATTCAATAGTGATCTGTGAAGAAGCAAAAAGTCTATTTGAAGAAGTTCTTAGCCATGCAATGTCAATAGCACAAGTGGCTTTAGTAGAAGATTGTAAAATTATTCGGGGCAGAAGTCAGGCTGTAATGTGGTTTTTTTACTTTTACAGAAAGATTTTTTTTAATTCATCAATATTACAAGTAATAATTTGGAGGTTGGATGCATTTCAAAGTATACCTTCTTATTTGAACACCTAATAATTATACAGGGGTATTCAAATTCGAGTCTCTATATTTTTGAAGCAATTTTTTGATTGAAAATATTTGTTTCATTTTGTGAAATTCCATATTTATCTATATTGATAGATGATATTAGGTGAAATATGTTTTTTCACATTATGGCCCATAAATTGAAGATGTGAACAAAATACAGACAACAGATTTTGATTCTTGCACCATCTATCAACATGTGTACAAAGTTGGGTCAATCCCATTTCTCTCATTAAAAGTTTTTGAGAATCAGTAAAAGCAGCAGGATTTGTTTCTATGCATCTTGTTCTTATCGTTTACGAGAGATAATTTGAAAATCCTTGTATATGATTGTAACTACTCTGAGGAATTTTCAAAGGTTTTTTTCACAAGCTAATCCGATTGTTGTAAATATATTTCTTGAAAGTTCACTGACTCTTTTCAAACGTTGCTTTTGTCTAAGGTAGTCTGGTAATTTTTCGTAAAGAGCAGTGAATTTATACACTTCATTCTTAGTTTATTTTCATGATTATCAAAATCCTCATCAATTAATTGGGAAACTTCAGTTTTCATTATTTGAGTTTTATATTTTTGTGTATTTGTCAATATTTTGAAAGTCAATTTACATCTCTCATGAAATTTGGAACCTCTGGCGTGAAATGAATCTTCTTCCAAAAACACTTTTTTCTCACCAGAACAAAAATACTGTTTCTTAAGTCATCTCCTGATGATACGAAACACGCGTGTTTCGAATTGAGATAGTATTTTTATTCTGGTGGGGTAGAAATGTTTTCAATACATTTATTACTCAAAGTTATTTCATGACTGGTTGGATTAAACCAGTTCTTAGAAGCTGCCTTCTAAAAATAATTTGTACTGTACCAAGAAACGTATACTTGAAATGTAGGTTTCTTATAATCCTTATATTTTTTTAGGTACTTGAAGCTCTTGATGGTCTTACTAGTGAAATGAGTAAAGAACCTTCTAACGTTTCTATGATTAATCTCTTCATTGAATCTTGCTCTAACGAACTATGTGCCCTAGAACGACGTGTAAATACAGCTGTGTTGAAATTAAGTTTAAATGTATTTTCCCAGTATGCAACAACTCTGGAATCAATTCACAGGTTTTGTTTTGATAGAAAAAATGAAGGAAAATTGAATGAGTTAGATGCACTCGTTGTGGAATATGATTTGCATGTAGATAGGATTATGCAAATTGGATTATTTGCAGTTTCATGTTCTACGTGTACCTATAGTAAGAATCTTAATTTATTACAATTCATTTAATAATATTTTGGTATAAATAGTGATACAAGTAAAGTTTTTTTGATGAAAAAAAAAGTTGTCCGATTACCTTCACATCTGTATAGATGTGAGTAGAGGTTATTCTTTTGTGCGATAATTCAAAAATTGTAATACAGTCGTCAAAAATACACAGACCAAGAATTTTCCGTACCTACAGAAACAATTTTTGTGCCATTTTAAATATTTTAATGAAAATATGTATACAAAACATAAAAACCTTGATAAGTATGAATGAAATAAAATATTTTTGTGTTATTAAACGCAAACATCAAATGCTAGTAAGTAAGTATAGTTTAGAAATGTCAATGTATACATAACTGAATTCTAAAAAAATATTCAAGAAATAAAATATCTCAGTTCTG